CAATTACACCACTCACCAGGAGCACCAGAATTCAGAAAAAGATTTACTTGTGCAATAATCCTTTGATGGAAAAAAGAGGTGCGAACTTGAGCATTCCACCCTCAGGTGAGCACCCAGTTTTTGAACCCTGGGAGAAACGGGCTGTCACTATTCCTAGCTTTCTGATGGAACCACACCCATCTGATAAGAGCAGGCAAGTGCGAGGGCTTTGCACGGTTTCAGGGGGAAACGGGAAGCTGAAGAGTGCTTTTAGAAAAGTAGGGTCATGTAAGAAATTTTCAGAATTTCTGCATTTTCTTCAGATGTAAAGAATCTGAGCGTAAAACATCCCTGGTCTCTGTGAGGAGGAAATAACTCGTTCTTTCATATGCAGAAGCTTTCCAACCTTATACACTTCTTTCCAGGCTGCTCCGAAACGTGTGTGTATGTGATACATGTAATAGTCTTCCCTGTCGTAGGCAAGGTTCATTAGAAGAATACGGTGAGGTGACAGGGATCACAAAGTTAGTCTTTAATTTCTCCCTCCTCTGCCCCCAATCCCGGAGCATCCTGTACTTCCTGCACCTATTTCTGTGTTAGTTTGTAGAACAATGCTGCTTACTACTTCCGCCCCTTGTTACTGCCGTTGATTCATTTGACTTCTTCCTCCATTCTTCAGACTGTCTCCAGGTGTTAACATCCTTTTAAAAATCTTTTGAGCTATTTTATCTTTAAAGTCTTTGTTTAAAAAAGAATACAAGCAAAAGAAAGGCACAATATAAAAAAGTAAATCCCCTGAGAAAGAAACTTCCCCCCCAAAGAAATTGCTCTGAAATCTGGTGTATCCTTGGTCTTACGGGCCTGGCAGTGGGGGCGTGGGGTGGATGGGGTCACCCGGGCATGTGTCCCGTCCCTGTCTTCAGGTCAGTGATAGACAGTGCCACTCCTGTCCTTACTGAACAAAATTAAACATCAGCATGTAGACAAATCCATTGTTTTTCGAGACAGCATTTGATGGCCATTTCCGTCTGCCTCGGCTCCTGCAGCACGGGTAACAGAACAGCGGGAGGCCGGGAGTTAGCCACGCTTTGGAAGGCGTAGCGTTCCAGTACACGGAATTTAGATTGTAGGTAGGAATTTCAAAACAAAGGCAATTCTTCATTCTCTTTTAATATATTGTTTGAATTTATATCGTTTTAAATTAAATGGCTTTTAATTACATAAGAGGGCTTCTGAGTCAAAAAAGTATTTCTATTTCCAGGTCCTTAAGTGTCAGCTAATGGTAGTGAGATTTGTTGCTAACAGGGAAGCTTGAATGGGCTGCTTCTGTGTGCCTTTAGTTTTTCAACTTTACATCTCTTCTGTTGTTGTTATTTTATTTTTTTGTATTAATTTTTTTTATTGTTCAAATACATTTATCTCCATTTTCCCGCCACCACTTTCCCCTGCCCCCCCCCCCCCCCCCTCCCCCCTCAATCCTTCCCCACTTTGGCTTTGTCCATGGGTCCTTTCTTCTGTTGTTTTTTAGATATTTACATTAATCTGTTCAGTGAATAGGGAGTTTTTACTGTGAGCCAGGCATATGCTTTGCAGTAAAGAACATATGAAATGGGTGAACTCAAGGGCAGGGGCCAGGTTGAATTCGTTTTTAAAATCTCCCTATCCTAGCACAGTGTTTTTCCTTGCAGGTGTTCAAAGGATGTTTGTTGAATTAAACTCACATCCTGCCCCTTTCATACTGTTCACATGAGCCAAGCTTAAGCAAAGGCCTCTTTTTTTCAAAAAAGGAAACACCCATCTTTTGCCTTGTGTCATGGTTCTTACCACCACGTATCTATGATCCCTCTCACCTAGTAAGGACAAGCTTTGTTCAACTTGTTCCTATAATTCCCAGGATTTTGTTCCTGAAATTTCAAACAGCCCTGCCCAACAGAAATACAATGCAAGCCATATATCTAATTTTAAAAAATTTAGTAGCTACATTTTAAAATCTAAAAAGAAACAGGTATACCAACTTGAATAATTCATTTAACCCAGTATGTTAAAAAACATTTCAATAATTAATGTAAAATACTAAGATTTTACATTCTTTTATTCATACTGTCTTCAAAATCCCATGTATATCTCACACTTAAACGCTAGCCACGTGCAGCTAATGGCTGGCTGCTGGACAGCTTGGGTGTAGAGTCTTCGAATGTTTGTGTACTCACTGTGTAAATGTTGAGATTCAAGTAGGACAAGAGAGCCAGCAAACTGTCCACCTTATTGGCTGCGTCAACAGTAAAGAAGATAAATTTAGATAAGATGGAATTATTTGCTAAGTGACATGTAATTTAGCTTACTGTTTCTTTTTTTAAAAAAAAATTATTTATTGATTTTAGGACGGGAGAGAAAGAGAAACATCAATTTGTTGTCCCACTTATTTAAGCATTCATCAGTTAATTCTAGGATGTGCCCCGACCAGGGATCAAACCCACAACCTTGGCGTATCAGAATGACGCTCTAACCAATTGAGCTACTCTGCCCTGGGCTTACTGTATCTTTTTAAACTATTCTTGTAAGCTTTTTAGATTTTTCATCATTTGATGGAGCCCATAATTCAAAAACCATCAAGTATTTTTTTGGAAATGCTTCTAAGCTGTTGGTTCCTTGGGGGCGTCCTCAGTTCCTGGCCCTCCTTTTCATTACTTCCTGCTGCACTGGCTCCCTAGAGTCCACACGATTGGGGTTTTCTATCTTTTCCCTTCTCTCCCATGAAAGCCATATCTTTGCCAACACTTACCCCACACTGTGTTCCCCGGAAACTTGAAATATTTACATTATTTATCTTAACTTTATGCAAGCATTCCAGCGGGTGGAAATGGAATTCCATTTATCTATAAAGCTGACATTGCATCGTCTGAGTTATAGGAGTAGGAAATTATTTAGTTAAAAATGTAAAGTCAATTTTTTTTAGCTCACATTCCTAAAACCCATAGGAAACAATGTGATTGATGCAGATAAGCAAATACCTCTTAAATAACCGGTTAGTTGCCAAAAATGACAAGGTAGCGGGTTAAGCCGTGTTTGCTAGGTAGGTGGAAGAACAAGAAAGGGTTGACTGCCAAGCTTTGGGTTCATGGGGAGAAAATAATGGGATAGGAACATATGGAGCATGTTTTTAAAATTTTTGACAGGAATTCAAGTGTGATAAACATGGTGGTCCGCAGAAGAATCAGTGGTATGTGCACTGAGGAGTCGAATCTCCAGAGCCAGTGAGGAGGCATTTCAGACAAACTGTAAAGGCCCCGCCTAGGGCTCCCAGTTCATTGTCCTTTCCCAGGGACCCCTGTGCACACTGCCCATAGGGGTACATCCCGCTTCTGTGGGGTGATGTCTGGGGGAAGCAGTACTCCAATTCTCCATCAAAGAAACTACGTGTTCAAAGCTCATGGGTCGGGATGCCCAGGAAGCTGGGATTCTGATGTTGTCCTGGCTGATTGGTCATTCTGTGCACACGAAGTACCTTTCCAATGCCACCCCTTATCTTGAAGTTTGGAATCAGCTTCTTTGTGTTAATTTTTAAGTTAAAATCCAAACTCTAATAGCAAAACATTTTATATTATTCTAATAGACAAGAACAAATATTTCCGTGTAAATGTTTAACACAAGTTTGCAAATATTTAGCTATCCACATATATCAAACGCTGCAGCTGTGGATCATAAAGCTCACATGAGTGAGTGGATCCAGAGCTCTGTCTGATTGGGGTTCACTTTTAATATTCACCTGTCATTGATTCCATGAGCTGCCAAATTAGAAATATACTTGTCCCCCTGGTACCTCATGGTACCTTTCTTAAATACAAATGACTTCAACTTACGACTTTCTTTAAGCTAAACTTTTAAAGCAAGTTTCCTCAGAATCAGCTTAACCCATGGTGAGATCATTCAGTTACAGATCTTTATTAATGCTGGTTTAGTGTGGGAAATTGTTTTAGTCTTTGGATCTCTTCATTGCTAAACAGTTACTTTTAACTTCATTTTGTAAAAATTATGATCTAATTATTTTCAAGTATACTTGGGTTAACAAAATGCAGCGGTGGGGTGTGCCTGTTAGCGGCTGAACAGACCACTTTTTACATTCCTTAGAAATAAGATATGGTTCAGTATTTTAAATCATAGCAACAGTTGATAACAAAAACAGCAGAAAGGTAATCATTTCCATATGGAAAGAAAAGGAAGAACCAGTGAAGCTGTGAACTGTCATTTTTCCAAATAAAAATAATTCACCACTGGTAGATTTGGCAGAAACGGCGAATGTTCCTATTTGTTTCCCATTTAACATTTGTTAATACATTGCATGTGATGTGTTTTATTGAAATACACCATTCCCCTCACTCTGCTGCCAATTTCCAATTGTGTTTTGTCCTTCTGAGTGGAGCTCACATCTGGATGTGCCAATTTTATCTAACACAGTATTTCCTTGGTGATAATTTTCTCAACTTAGTGAAATTTTGGTGAAAGTTCTTATCCCTTCTACTGAAAAGTATATAGCCATCTCCTAGATAACTATAAGTAATTTTAAAGCACTGTCAGAATAAAATCAGTTTCTGCCCTGGCATTCTAAGATCTAAAAGAAAAACCAACCCAATTTTCTGATATCCAAAATGTTTAAGAAATGCAAACAAAACATTTACTTATTTACTTTTGTATTTAAGCATGAAGTATATTCATTAACAAAATCCTGACATTTATTTTTAAACAGCTGCCTAAAGTGGAAAATCTTACCTGTTACGGAATAAAATATTCAAAATAACACATTCACCCTGTAGCATTTAACAACAGCTCCCTCTTGTGGTCCAAAGCATTCATTTAAAGATAAGTATATTTAAATGCAGAATTGCAATTTCTTTACTTAAAATTGTGTTGTGAAAGTTTAGGCCATATTTCATGAATCTTTTTTGGAATAAAGAGGGAAGAGTTATATAGGGGCAAAATAGAACATCCCCTTTTTTTGGATAGCTCCAGAGCGACAACATCTCAAAAAAAGGAGCTCCAAAGTTCTTTATAGAAGCACCAATTTTTTTCTTGCAAATGAAAATACCAAATAGATGTTTTCATTGAAAACATGCTGTTCTCCCTTTAAAAGGTTTTCCTTCTGTTCTGTGGGCATAGTATGCAAAAGAAATCAGCATCTGACCTGGTTGCTTTTAAAAGATCAAAATTTGAAAACATACAGGGGAAAAAAACAGTGTTGAAAATATTTAAGTCCAAAAGTGACGTAAAGGTACTTTTTCCCTTGAACCCTCTGTTCAAGATCAGAGGTTGCAGTAACTGGCAACAACCTGTTCTAACAATGTGAAACTGTCCAAAAAGTCCTCTTCTTCAATTCCAAATTTTGTGTACTGATGAATGTAGGCTCTGGTAAAAGAAACAGAAAATGTAAAATGAGAAATCCCAGACAAATAAATATCTCTTAAAATCAAACAACAAATGTTCTTACTCGTGAACATTTGAAGAGAGCAGAATCTCTTCAAAGCCTTATATTTGCTTCAATGTTTATCCCAAACACTAGCAAACATTCAGTTGATGCAGGCTCCCTGCCTTCTTCAGTGTCCAAGAGAGTGACATTAAGAAGCACCCAGGAAGAAAAAGCAGGTTCGGATTTGGTTGCCCACCCGGCCCATGTTCAACGCCCTGCAGGAGAAGCCTACATTATTGATCAATATAAACTTTAAAAAGTGCCTGAGAAGTTTTATCCAAGGCTTGAACCTGTACAAAGGCATTCATCCAGTTCTAGGAATGAAGTGAAGTCTCCCAAGTATTTTTCAGACAACACTTAACTTGTAGTTATGCCAGGTCCCCCTGGATGTCCCCCTGAATATTCCCACTGCCCAAAATGTTGGGGAAGGAGAAAACATGCTAAAAAGAACTGCCAGGGCAGACATGAATTAAATGGATGGAATAGGGGCTGCTACCAGTTGCTGAGAGTGGAGCGAGAAGGACGCCAGGAAAGGCCAGGGTTCCCAGGCCTGAGGAGAGGCGGGTTATGGAATGGCCACGTGCAGGGAAGGCGGGGCTTGGGAATCCTAGCTAATCCAAGGAGAGGCTTTGCCACTCGTTTGAGGAATTGTACTTTGACATTTGGTCCTTGTGGCAGAGGTCAGGAAACCTAATAACACATTTCTTAGTACCAGGTAGACATTTCTTAGTATCAAGTGGAGTTGAATTAGCAATATTTCTAACTGAGCAAGATCAGGATCTCTTCCATTCTTCTAAGGATCTTATTTTAGAAAATTATTTTATTGTCCTTGTCTTCTACTTTCATTTATAAACTAATTTAGTCAACAACAGTAATAACAATATCAAACAATTATTGAGCATTTACTGGTCAGGCACTGCACCAGGTGTTTTCACATGACCGTCTCATTTAACCCTCACCACAGACCCTCTCAGTCAGGACCCATTGTACAGCTCAGGATGTAGGCCTGAAGTAACATGCTTAAGGTTTCACACCTACAAAGTGGCAGCCATGCTTACTCCAGGCTGCAGATTGAATGTCTGTGTTCCCCTAGGTGTTAGGAAGTGAGGCCTTTGGGAGGTGATTAGGTCACAAGGGGGGAGCCCTCATGAATGGGATTAGTGCCCTTATCAAAAAGGCCCCTGAAAGCTCCTTTGCCTGTTCTGCCATTTGAGGATACAGAGAAAAGACACTGCCCGTGAACCATAAAGTGCGTTCTCACCACACATCCTATCTGCCAGCACCTTAATCCTGGACTTCCCAACCTCTGGAAAGAAATACTGGAAATATTTCTGTGAGTATTTCTGTGAGTATTTCTGTGAGAAATACTGATTCTTTATAAGCTACCCAGTCTATTTTTGTAAAAACCGCCTCAATGGACTAAGACACTCCAGATCCTGCCTTGTTTTTTTTTTAAATTTATTTATTGATTTTAGAGAGGGAAGAAGGGAGAGGGGCAGACAGTCAGTCAGAGAAAGAGAGGGAGAGAAACATTGACTTGTTGTTCCACTTGTTAATGCATTCACTGGTTGATTCTTATATGTGCTCTGACTGGGAATAGAACTCACAACCTTGGCGAATCAGAATGACGCTCCAACCAGACCGAATGAGCTGGCCAGGGCTTTGACAATATTATCAGCCTACGGTTAGGAAAGTTTGTAGATTTATCTTTTACTTACTTTGAGGCAAACATATTCCATGCTTTGCTCACAATCATATCAAGTGGTTTTACTAAGAACTGGCTGTTGCTGACCAGTGCCGCGGACTTCTCATACTTGCCAAAGGCTCGCTGGGTTTTCCACACATTGAAAGCATTATCTGGTTCCAACCAGGAAGTGTAGAGAGCTGGATCTTTAAATCCCCCTAGAGTAAAACAACATAAGCCATTGTTCACATCATAAATTGTGAAAACAAATCAGTAAAGGAATATTTTCTTATCCATTTCACCAAAAATCTTTTGTTTTGCCTTTTAAAAGTAGCTTTAAAATGAAAAAAATAAATTTTAAAACATTAAAAAAGTTAAGCTAGTTTTATATTGCTTTTGCATAAGTGATTTATAGTCATCATAAAAAAATAAATCATTCACACCTTTCAGAAAAGTATCATGAAGAAAATGTTCACGCCAACTGAACATCTGAAATCCAGAGATGACAAGGAACGTTTCGCTGGCCCTTGTGTATGTGGTGTTATACATATGCTCTCCTCTAGTCTGCATTTTGCGTTCACCAGTGTGTTGTAATCCACTTTACCATTTCAAAAAATATCACTCATATTTATTTATTTTTAATTTATAAACGGTTTTAGAGGGAGGAGAAGGAAGAGGAAAACATGAATTGGTTACCTCGCACGCCCCCTGCCAGGGCCTGGCCTGCAACGCAGACATGTGCCCTGACCTGGAGTCCCCAGCAGCCTTTTGGTCTGCAGGAGGACGCCCAACCCACTGAGCCACACAGACCAGGGCTCAATGGCTGATTCTTGCATGTGCCCTGACCAGAGATGGAACCTGCGACCTTGGCATATTAGGATGACGCTCTAACCAACTGGGCTACCTGGCCAGGGTAACTTCCTGAAAATTTTGTAACAAAATGCCTGGCACAGAGACCACTAGCTGGCCCACAATACCTGTTCTCCCTTCTTTAATAATAGAACCCCCAAATTTTAACTGTGCTCATGGTGACCCTTGCAGCCAGGTGTGGCACATGATTCAGTCAAACAGATAAAAGCACAAGCGTAGGTGCAACCCTCGGAGCGGGGAGGTACGCCCTTTTTTGCTCATTCCTACGTGATTTGATGGCTGAAGCTCTAACAGACATCTTAGACTAAAAGGAGGAAGCCACCACGTCAAGACAATAAAACAACGAGATTCAGGAAAAAGAATTAAACTAGCATCTTATTTAAACTGCTTCTATTTTGGTATCCAGTCACATACTAACAGATACAATGGCTACATTTTGTTACTAAAACACAGTTACTGTTTTCCTTTTCTAAGAATAAATTCAGGGCCTTTTTTTTTCCCCACCATGTATAACATCTTTATGTACAAATAGTACATCTTAATTTTCACCTTAACTTCTGCTTACCCACATCTGCACTGTGCACATCCTTCCCACGAAGGATGACCAAGTTAGCAATGGAAGTGTTAAAGTGAAGCTCCTTGTTGAGAGACATTTTACCAAGAGTAGGAAGTCTTGATAAAGGAGGTCGTACCTGCCAATCCATACCTACCAAAAGGAAAATCAAAAAAAGCAAGAGATTTTATAAATGACTTTGAACAAGAAGGGAAAAATGTATTATAGTGTGTGTATTTTACATAAATTTTTATTTAAAAAGTGAAAGTTGTTTTTTCCCTGCTAAAAGTTTAAAAATACTGGTTGACCTAAAGTGATCCAAACTATTTTATACTGAGAAAGGCATGAAATATTCTTCACCAAGGTTAGTGGTAGGCCCATAAGATGAAATTCTAGTCAGCAATAGAAACTAACTCCCAAAACACATCATAATGTGCATAAATCTCAAAAGCATCATGCTAAGTGAATCAAGCTTGACTCAAAAGACTACACAGTGCATAATTCCCTTTATAGGACATTCTGGAAAAGGCAAAACATTAGGAACAAAATTTAGATCAGCAGTTGCCAGGGACTAGTGGTAGAGGGAAGAGATCATTTACTGAGGGGTACGAGGGAACTTTTGGAGATGATGAAAATACCATCTCTCGATTGCAGTAACAGTTACACACTATAACTTTGTCAGAATTTATAGAACTATACACCTATAAAAAACCCGAACTTCACTCTCCATATGGTTATGAATAAGCAAAATGCATACAAAATGTTAAAAGATGTAGAAACACAAAACCAAAGTAGGATTGCAAATTTACTAGCCATGTGGAGATATGAAGAAAATACTCAGATTATACATAGGATAGGGATAAAATTCAGTGCACAGTAACATTGATTTTCAGCAGAAATAGAAATACAACAAGTCAAGAATTTGGCATGCTGAACTCAGTAACACAAACAAGCCAATTTAAAAATTGGAAAGATGTTTGAATAGAAATTTCATCAAAGAAGATTAATAGATGGCTAATAAGCACAGGAAATGATATTCAACATGACTGTCATTAGGAAAATGTGAACTGAACCCCAAGGAGACACCACTTCACACTTATCAGAATGGCTACTATGAAAAAGATGGATGTTGGGAAGGCTGTGGAAAAACTGGAACCCTCTTGAAGTACTAGTGGGAATGTAAAACGGTGTGACAAGGTTAAACGTAGGCTTATCCTTTGACTCAGCAATGCCACTCACAAGCATATTCCCAAGAGATTGAAAACTTACGTCCCAACAAAGACCGGTATATACTACAACACGGATGAACCTTAAAAACATTATGCTAAGTGAAAGAAGGCAGATGCAAAAGACTACATATTGTGTAATTCCATTTATATGAAATGTCCAAAATAGGCAATATCTATAAAGACACAAAGCACATCAGGGGTTGTTTGGGGCTAGGAATAAAAATAGGGATTGAATGCCAATGGACACAGAAACTTTTCTGGAGCGGCGGAGATGCTCTAAAACTGGACTGCGATACTGGCTGCGCAACTCTAAAACATCCAAGACATGCTTAGTTTTACTAAAACATCACTGACTTGTACATTTACAACGGGTGAAGTATATGGCATGTAAGTTACACCTCAGTAAAAGCATTACCGAGTAAAATGCATGACATGCTGTCAAAGCCATAGTTGTTAGATACTTAACATCACTTAACATTACTCAGAAATAAACGTGATACAAAAAGTTTCAAAAAGAGAAAAAAAATGAAGCCAATCCAAAGTTGGCCCCTTAATAAACTGATGTTCAAAAAATTTAAAAAGAAATACTAAGCAAATCAAAATGGGAGGGAAAGTAGGCACAAAAAAGACATTATTAAAAATAAAAATCCCAGATGGGTTAAATTTTAAATATTAACATAAAACTATAAAAAATACTGGGAAGTAAGAGAGAATATTATTATATCTTCGGAGTAGGCAAGGCTAAGAATCTATAAAAAAAGATTTATAGGTTCATACACATAAAAATGTAAAACTACCTACCTTGTGAAAAATACCAAACATAAGACAAAAATATCTGCAATCAATGTAATGAAAATGAGGTACAAATACACAATATATTTTTCTTTTTAGATTTTATTTATTTATTTATTTTTAGAGAAGGAGAGGGAGAAGGAAAGACAGGGAGAGAAATATCAGTGTGTGGTTACTTCTCATGCCCCCCACTGGGGACCTGGCCTGCAACCCAGGCATGTGCCCTGACTGGGAATCAAACCGCCGACCCTTTGGTTCGCAGGCCGGCATTCAATCCACAGAGCCACACCAGCCAGGGCCCTAATGTATTTTCTTCCACCGAAGAAACCATTGATTGAAACAAAAAAAAAATATGTTGTCAATTAAATTACTTACCTATTTTTTTCTTTAATTTTGCATTTATTTGTTCTAAAGAGAGAGAGAGGGAGGCAGAAAAAGAAAGAAAGAAACAGAGAGAGAGAGGCAAACATTGGCCCTGACCAGGGATCAAACCCACAGCCTTGGCATGTTGGGACGATGCTCAAACCAACTGAGTTCCCTGGCCAGAGCTTACTTACACTATTTAAATTTTATATTTATTTAAAAAGTCGCTTTTTAATAAAAAGATTTTATTTATGTATTTTTAGAGAGGGGAAGGGACAGAGAAAGAGAGGGAGAGAAATATCAATGTGTAGTTGCATTTCGCATGTCCCCTGCTGGGGACCGGCCTGCAACCCAGGCATGTGCCCTACACTAGGAATCAAACCAGCGACCTTTTGGTTCGCAGGCAGGCACTCAATCTCCTGAGCCAGATCAGCTAGGGCTAAAAAGTTCCTTTTTAAAGAAATACTTACTTTTAGAGAGCGGGCAAGGGAGGGATAAAGAAAGAGAAACATCAATGGGCAAGAGATACATTGGTCAATTGCCTCTCGCACTCCCCCAACTGGGGACCTGGCTGGCAACCTGGGCATGTGCCCTGACTGGGAATTGAACCTGCAACCTTTGGGTTTGCAAGCCGGCACTCAATCCACTGAGCCACACCAACCAAAGCTAAAAAGCTCTTTTAGAGTAAATTAGGGTTAGATATTTAATAAATCATAGCATTCTTGTGCATGTATTAAAAAAAAATATATGTATAAAACTACATAAATTGGTTAAGGTTTTTCTAAAATGTTTTCACATTCAGTGACTTTATTACTTTTCGACTCAGCATTCATGATGTCAGTGTTTTCACACATTGTTATCCTCTGTGCCTCCAGAACATCGATGATACAGCATTCTTTACGGGAATTCCTGTAAACACTAAGTCACTGGCTCTTAATCTAGCTTTGCAATCAAATAGAGTGCATTTACCTTTGATCTCTGCCTAAGGAATGTTGCTAGACTTGTCTGTTTATCATGATGACTGCCTCTTCCCTACAGTAGCAGAAAACTAAAAGTTTATTTTCTGGAGAAGATATGACTCAGTATCTCTGGTCTGGAGAACACTAGATAAAGTTAAAGGTGAACCTACTAAACCCAGAGGGATCAGGTGAAAACCATGGCCCTCTCTCCTCTTCTCCCAGGTCTGTGGGGCTTTGTCTAAACCCTCTGAGCAGAATATCCAACACCAGGGACAGGCAAAGAGAATATCCAGGAGGACAAATGTACAGTGGCTATTGTGAGCAAAAAATCCACAGTGAAGCAGGTTAGAAGGCTCTAGAAAAGATGTCTTAAAGAATATGAAACTGATAGAATTCTTGATTATATCAAGAAAAAACTTAAACAAGTAGAAAAACACTTAGAATTGAATAATTGATGGTACCTAGAAAAACTAAGCAAGCACGAAAATAAGGCAATTATTAACTCCAAAGAAAATTTTTAAAATTATACAGGAAAGGAAAAGTAATCACAGGATACTATGTGACTCAGCTGTGACTAGCATTTACTTGGTCTTCATCACGTAGAACTGAATACTGCTTTACCCTAGTGATGACGCTACGGTACTGGATGGATGGATGGCAGGCTGGAGGGTGTTGGTAGGGTTTAGGGGGCCAGTGTGGGGGAAGAGCTAAACCCTAACCTCCATACACAGGTTCTCTCTAAATGAAAACCAATAAATGGCAATGAGTAGATTAGAAACAGTAAAAGAACCAGCAAAAGAATTTTGAAAAAATGGATGCCTCTGGGAAGGAGAAAATAGAGGAAGGTTATAAACTGATAGTTTTAACAACCAGCTTTGTAAAATTGCTTGACTTTTTAATCTACGTGTATATAACTAATAGAGCACATAAATAGTAGAAAACTATGAAGCTATTAAAAACATAAGGTATGTCTAAGTGTTCTGAAATTTCTTAAAAAATGTATTTCATTTATTTTTAGAGAGGGGGAAGGGAAGGAGAGAGAGAGAGAAACATTGATCGGTTGCCTCTCACAAACCCCCAACTGGGAACCTGGTCAGTAACCCAGGCATGTGCCCTGACTGGGAACAGAGCTAGCAACCATTCTGTTTGCGGGACAAGGCCCAACCTACTGAGCCACACCAGTCAGGGATAACTGTACTAAATTTGAAAGGAGACCACAAAATATTGTTATGTTGAAAAAAAGTTACAGAACAAGAAAATACATATAATGTGATGCCAGTTTTATTTTTTAAAAAGTCTGTTTATAGATACTCTGAGTTCTCTCTAGTTCTCATATGCATAAATTAATCTGAACTAGCAAAAATAAATCAACTAATAAAATAAAATTTAAAAATAAGATGTTTTTCCCCTGGCTGGTGAGGCTCAGTGGACTGAGTGCCGGCTTGTGAACCAAAAGGTTGCTGGGTGGATTCCCAGTCAGGGCACATGTGGGCCAGGTCCCCAGTTTGGGGTGTGTGAGAGGCAACCACATCATTTGCACCGTTGTTTCTCTCCCTCCCTTCCCCCCTCTAAAAATAAATAAAATCTTTAAACAGTAAAAGAAAATAAAAATAAAATGTTTTAAATAAAACTTAAAATAAACAAGTGAAATTATAATTTAGCTTGGTTCAGAGGGCCAAGCCAAAAGCCATGGAAAACTATTTTAATCAAGACCCTGCCAGCATGTGCCTGATGAATTGGTCTAGCCCAGTGACTCCTGTGTGCCTTCCAGGCACCTACTTTTGAAAGGGAGTGTCTACCAGTTATCCTATGCCTGGTCTCCCATGGCCTGTTGGGGCCAGGGGGGAGGAGCTGTATTCAAAGAGCTACAAAGAAATCTCATCTGAGGAGTATAAATTCACATCTGGACCTATTTTTAGATGACAAGGTTCTGGACTTCAAGCTGATGTGCTAATGGGATATAGCTTTTAGGGGCCTGGGGAAGGGTTCAATATATTCTTCAGAGAGGGCAGAGAGTGGTACCCAGCCCCCAAGATGCACCCTAAGGATCCTTGCCACCTGAAATTCAGGCTCTTGTATGGCCCCTCCCACATGGGATAGGGTTGACTTTATAACCAAAAGGATGGTGCAGAAACAATGGTGTGTGACTTCCAAAGCTAGGTCATAAAAGACATTATAACTCCTGCCTGGCTCCCTCTTGGATAATTCATTCCTCCTGATGCTAGGGCATGTGGAAACACATATATTACTGATGGCAGTATTAATGGGATCAAGCTTCATACAGAAGAGTCAGGTAACATATGAAGAGTTTTAAAATTCTGTTCTTAGCCCTGGCTGGTGTGGCTCAGTGGATTGAGTGCCGGCCTGGGAACCAAAGGGTCACCAGCTCAATTCCCAGTCAGGGCATGTGCCTGGGTTGCAGGCACCCCAGTAGGGGGTGCGTGAGAGGCAACCACATATTGAAGTTTCTCTCCCTTTCTTTCTCCCTCTCTTACACGCTCTAAAAATAAGTAAGTAAAATCTTGTTTTCTAATTTACTAAAAATAAAATAAAATAAAATTCTATTCTTCAACTTGGTTAGTAACATATATGTTTATTTATATATATATACCTATTTTATATATATAAACACTTTTATGTTCAAAGCTCTATCTATAACTGTGAAAAAAAATGTTAACACTCTAAAATCCCTTACAGGAAAATGACTAAGCAAATCATGGTTTATTTACCTAAGAGCTCAGTGCAATACACCTTACACTATCCTCAGGATCATTGTGTTTCTTGAGGTGTTAACAGGTATCACTAAAAAACAGGTATGTACCATGGTCAAAAAATTTAGGATGTGAACTATAATTTTTTTTAAATTTTTTATTATTTATTTTTTTTAGAGAAGGGAAGGGAGGGAGAGAGAAATATCAGTGAGTGGTTTGCATCTTGAGCGCCCCCTACTGGGGACCTGGCCTGCAACCTAGGCATGTGCCCTGCACTGTCTCCCTTCCTCTCTCTAGAATAAAATAAATAAATAAATAATAATAATAATAATAATTATATCCATAAGGTATTGCAAGTAAATGTAGAAGAAATCCACTTTCACAGTACTGAAACTTACGTTATTGTGATTTGTGGTAAAAAATACACTACAAAAATAATACATAATCCAGTTAAACATGGCAGGCTGAACATATACCAGTTTACTCCCACTTTCTCCCCAAATCTCACTAACAAGACAATACAGGGATTTTTAAAAAGGCATAAGCAAGAAATAGGGAATGACACAGGAGATAATGGCAACAAAATTTTGGAAGCTGGAAAGCAAAGGAACCAGTGGTTACTAATTTAGCAACCAGGGGAGGCTGAAACTTCTGCCCACAGTGAGGGGCCTAGAAGCAGGCCAGGCACTTCTAAAAGAGGAAGAAAGAGGAGGATCAGTTACACATTTGCATGAGAAGCAGTGAGAGCCCCAGACCCATCCGGTTCCCCAGAGCAGGGGGAGTAGCCCTTCCATCCTGGAAGGTTTGTGCTCAGGAAAGGCTAAGCCACTGAGGCTCTGGTCTGTGCTGGGCCACTATTTCAGGCTCTCAAGATAAAGCAGGAAAAAAAATAGATTAAAAAAAATAAAGACCTGCTTTTGTTCTACTGAGATAAACCAAAGATCCACACTAAGGAATTTCAGAGTGCTAAAGACAGAGAAAATCCTAAAAGAGTCAAGAGAGAACGAAACAGAACCAAGAAGCAGATTGAAGTGGGACTTCTCAATAATAACCCTGGAAGCTGGAAGATAAGAGAGCAACGCCTTCAAAATACTGGGTAAAAATGACTCCCAACCTCGAATCCTGTCCCTGGCTATCATGTAAGGGCAGAATAATGGTATTTGCAGCCTTAAAATTTTTACCTTCTCTGAACTCTTTCTCAAGACGCTCCTGGAGGGGATGGTCTAGCAACAGAAACGGGAAGATATGAAACCTAGGTAATGGGATAGGGTACATAACGGGGCAGATGCCAGCATTTGCGTATCAGGCCAGGAAAGCAACCAGTGCAGACTGGACAGGAGCACAAAGGTCTGCCAGAGTGACAGCACCAAGCAGGTAATGAAAGTATTAGATTACGTGACGGGGTTGACACATTGAGAGGGGATTCATTTTTATGAAAATGTTTAGGAATAGATTAGTGATAGATATGTAGACTGTCGACCAAATTAATTAATTATTAACTCTAGGAGGGAAAAAAGCTTTTATATGAAATAAAATGTAATCTGTGTATATACAGTGCATAGGACATAGTTCGACTGTGAATACTAGCTCCACAGCAAAAGTAACCCAAACACTGAAAACTGATCTAACCTGAAAGTGCGCGCGCGCGCGCGTTTGTGTGTGTGTGTAGAAGGTGGTATAAGAAGGTTTCATCCTCAGTTTTCACATTAGAAAGGCAATTGATAGTATCTAAACCTGGAAAATAAAGTAAGTAACAGTATAAGCAAGATATTTAGAAATATGGAGGCAAATTCCAGAAGAAGCAGCTAAAACACTGAAAGTAGGGCGTCAGCTGGGTGGTGGGGAAGGCTAGGACAGGAGCTGCTCTTTTCCTCATTAGAAATTCACGCAGGACAATTACTTGGCTTTGTTTAAAAAAGTGAGATACACATACAATACAATTTTTATGTTTATGTAAACATAAAATCTGTAAATATTTTATAATCCAAATGTGTAAAAGTTAAAATGGACTTAAGTATACATTTAAATGAGTTTTGACTACTTGATTTTTAAAAACTGTTCATATATTACTTTGATAAAAGTAAAATGTAAATAAAAATAAGTGTCCCACTCATCTGAAATTTTCTTGGGAAATGACACTGTGAAGCGATTAAGACGCCCTCCTGGGATGTGCTGGTCAGTTTTGCAGACACCTCCCTGGCCAGGAGAAGGGACCATTATTTCAGCTGGCCCAAACCAGTTTATATTGAGAACTCCAGTACCAGCATTTTTCCCAGCTTGTGGGCTACATATTTTTAAAATACGCTTTACCTTCTTCCATTTTCGCATTAGAAATGAGCATCTGTCTCAAATGCTTGAGGAGGCCAGCCCAAGTAAACGCGCTGTATGCCAGTGAGTTCTCAGCCATGTAAGGAATGTTGCGAACACCCAGCATCTTGAATTCAGGATGGGGAACTAAATTCTCCATTAAGTCTCCTGTAAAGAAAACAAATCTTAACTAAATTTTTGAGTTAAGATTGGCCTACACACAGCCATGATTTGATGGCCTTTGGATGTTTTCTCCTCCAAGACTAGAGCTGCTTACATTTTAAAATGCAAATAAAATTTCAGAGACAGTCTATTAAAGACTATGTATTTGCTGCATTTTGGCACCAACTTTAGCACGAGTGAGAAATAACACTCTGCCAAAAAGGAAACGCGAGTTTAGAAGCCAAGTAACTGGAAATACGAATGAAATATTTAGCTAAACCCCAGGAAAACAAAGTAAGCATGAAGAGTTAATATGCTTTTATTGTCATTCTGTATTCACTAAATATTTATTTAGAAATTTTCCTTGATCTCTAATTTACTTTATCTAATAAAATAATAATCAGAACTGTGAGAAACAAACGTATGTTGTGTGCATGCCGCCCAGCCTACGATGTTTTCGTACAGTATTCTGAGCGGACTGAGACAGGCTAATCCACGAACGTCCTGCCTTCTGACCCACCGGGCTTCCCTTCCCTGCACTACTCTCCTTATGCAGCTCATTTCCGCCCTCTCTCTTCGTCAAATCTTTCTGGTGAAGAATCCAATCTTGGATCAGGCCCGTACCTCACATTGTCTGTGCCTGTCAGAGCATAGCTATAGAAAGTCACCCCACATGGCAGATTGGGACTCCTCAGAATTCACAGTACCCAAATGCTTTTTTGAGAAGGTGATGTCTCCTCAAACACCTGAGCAGAAACATGTGTGTATCTGAGGTCTTAGTGGACCTAAGTTTTAAATATTGAGCAACTGAGCCCTGGCTGAGCAGCCCAGTCGGTTAGAGTGCCTGATACACCAAGGTTGTGGGTTCGATCCCCAGTCAGGGCACGTACAAGAATCAATCAGTGAATGCATACATACGTGGAACAACAAATTAATGTCTCTCTCTCTATCTTTCTCTCCCCTCTCTCTCTCTCAAATCAATAAAAGATATCCTTTTTAAAAAACTGAGCAATTGAAGGATTGAGGAAGAGACATGGTCTTGGGGGAAACCTAAGAGACCTGTGTTAGACACAGTATGTTTGCGATGCCCATGAAATGCACACATAAAGAAGTCAGGGAGGCTGCTGGATATAGAAATCTGGAGCTTAGAGAATTGGTCAGTGTTGCAGATAAGCTGGTAGGTTAGAGAATGCAAATGCCATTTAAAGCCACGGGACTAGGGAGAAGCAGCCAAGACTAGCATTTAGAGCTAGGGAAAAGGGGGGGGGGGCAGGGGATTAAAAGGAGTAGTCATGGAGGTAGGAGAAAAATGAGGAGGGGGCTGTCACAAAAGGCAAAGAGAAAACTTGGAAAACAAAGGGTCGGCCATGTCCAATTCTACTGAGAGGTTGATGGAAACAAGGACAGTGAAGTATCCCCTGAATTTTGCAATGAGGACATGTTTGTGACTGATAAAAAACCATTTCAGAAAAGTGGTGGGTAAGAAACTAGAGTGGGCTGCAGAGTGACTAGATGGTGAGGAGACGAGGACAGCAAGGAGGGACAGACCTTTGAGGTGGCTGTTCGAAAAAACAAGAGAAATGGAGCCACGACTATTGGCGGTCATGTCATGGGAGGGTTTTTCAGTGTGAGAGAAGCCAGGAAGTGGTTGTAAGGGGAGTAACCCAGGAGAGAGGTACACGCCAATGACGTGGGAAGAGGAGAGATGAGTAAGGAATGAAGTCCCTGAGATGGGGAGGGAATGGGTCCCAGAACCCAAGTGAGACGTTGGCTTTCGATAGGAGCAGGACACTACTCCTACTGCGACGCAAGGCGAAGTGCACCCGTAACGTTTGTAGACATGGTTGTGAGTCAAGGGAGCGCTCATCTAACTGTTTTCTCAGAGCAGGTCAGTGTGATCAGGCCACCACAGTCTCTCCGGGGAGTGACTTGACCAGGCTGCAGTCTCAACCTCCCATCGGCTCTCCACCCACAGTCCGGTGGATCTTTTCAAAAGGAAAGGTGATTATGGAATCAACCGCTTAAAATTTGTCTGTGGCTTTCCCCTGTTCTTAGGTTACTGAAGAAGGCCTTCATATGGCTTACAACCTGCAGGGTCCACCCCTGCTTACCACTCTAGCCTCATTCCAGTCATCTCCTACATCACTCTCTATGCTCCAGTAGCACTGGATTTTTCTCCGGTCTTGATGTGCTATGCTTCTACCACAGGGCCTTTGCACATGCCATTCCCTCTCTTTGTGTGATTTCCTTGACCCTTTCTTTGCTTAGTGAACTAGAAGTCCTCATCCAGCCCTTGGCTCAAGTGATATCTTCTCAGGGTAGCCTTCTCTACCCCTTCAGCCTAAGCCTGGTTCTTTTGTGACACATTGTCTTGGAACTGTACTCCTTCCCTTCAGAGCATTTACCTCCGTTTTTAATTATACATTATTGTGTAATATTTGTTTAATGTCTCTCTTTCACAGTGAATACAATGCGTGCATTGGCTCCCCACTGGATCCCTAACATTTATCATAGTGCTTGGCACATAGCAGAAAGTTAATAAATACTGGTTGAGCAGATGTGCAATATGGTAAGTACTGAGGAATGTGCAGAAATTAACAAAATATGCACATGACAGAATCCCTCTCTAAGGGAACACATGGTGCTGATTATACTGGGAAGGGGTGGAGGGTGGTGGGAGGGAGATGTACCTTTGAATGCATGTTCTTTTGAACTCCTTGAATGAATGTGTGTGTAACTTTTAAAGATAAGCAAACACCCTTAAAAGATAAAGGGAGGAAACATTAAGTGACATAAAAGAGGTAAAGAATACCACCTGAGTTCAGAGAAAAGGTTACTTTAGGCAAAGGCCTCAGTAGGAAAGCTTTGTGGAAAACTTTTCTCTTGAATAGGACCCTGAAAGATGAGTAAGGTTTCAGCAGAGGGGAAGGAGGGAAGGAGGTAGCAATTCCTACAGCGGAGGAGCAGCGAGCAAAGGGACCAGGGCAGGAAAGTACCAGATTGAAGACGAACAGTGGAGTTAGAATAAAAAGTAGGTGAGGATCCATGCAGAGGGGGCAACAGGTAATGAAGCTAGAACGTTATAGTTCCGGGCATAATGTGGAGGTCAGGCTAAGGAATTCTGACAAGACTGGCAGGTGATGCGTGAGCCACGGAGCAAGTGTTAGAGATGGCAAGGGTTAGATCAGGGCCTCGGGGAGGCTCACTCGGGCGCGGTGCGCAAGACGGGCTGCAGGGGAAGAGGCAGGCACCTGGGAGGAAAGCAGCATGAGGGCCACCTTAAGACAGGAATGTCCTTACAGATGTAGGTTTCTGTTTTTATTCCAAAAATAAAATAAAATAAAATGAGAATAGAAAGAGGCTCGTTTGCCTTGAGTTTGTATGCAGTATTAGCTGAGAGACGTTGAAGTAGGGGAAGAATGCAGACAGATGACAGAGATGGCACCCACAGGTCAGAGCAGACTGATGAGATACGAGGACAGTGGGAGAAATGAGGTGACAGGAGGGAGGAAGAGGTGGCAGGAGAGGAGAGACAGGGAAAAAATGATGAATCCCTTCGGAACATGCTAAATATGAAGAAGCAGAAGGCGACTAAGAAAACTGGGGTAGGTAACTATCTGGGAAAGAGATCAGGCCTGGGTGGAGGGTATAGAGTATGATGTCATTTGCATCTAGAAAATTTGAATTGATAAGGTATTATTTGCAGAATAAGCTGGATTTCTTTATAGAGTGATGAAAATGATAGTTGTACAACTTTGTGAACATGCTAAAACACTACTGACTTGTACATTTTAAATGGGCAAACTATATGGTATGTGAATTATATCTTAAAGTTTTTGTTTAAAAAAAAAAAAAGAGAGAGAGCACAAATCCTGAACAGAGTAGGTGGGTCTCCACCATTCTTTTGCGAAAATTAGTAACTTCCCAAAACATTTCAGTAAGACAGTTCAGAGAGCTAAGCGACTCTTTAGGAAGGCTTTTGAGATGAGGGAGACCTAGTATATCTTCAGGCAGAGAACAGGAGCCGAGGAAGAATCATTTTGAGGCTTTCAGAGCATTAGACTTTCCTACCAACAACACAGAGTAGGACAATACCTAATGGATTTCTTCTGAAGTGAAACGAGCCTTCCTCAGAATAAGTAGGCTGGAACACACTTCCCAGCTGATGGGCGAGGACTTGATTTATATCACTAAAGGAGATCTGCTTGATATTCATCAATTTTGCACAGATCTTATGAACAGCATCATTCTCATGAACAAGGAGAGCGTCTGAAGATCGGTACAAGTGAGAAAGGGTCAAAATGGAGTTGTAATTCTGAACGATAACCTGGAGAGAAAAAGGTCAGAAACAAGAAAGGCAGGAGAGAATAATGGTTAAGAAGATGGATTCTAAGGGCATCCTGCCTGGGATCAAATCCTGGCTCTGTCGCTTTCTGTCTATATGATCTTGGACAAGTTATCTCATCTTTCTATGCTTCAGTTTCCTCATTTGTAAAATGGGAATAATAATTATACCCATCTCCTACAGTTTTAAAGCTTGATGATAGAATGCATGTGTAGCACTTAGAACAGTGCCCCTGTATATACTAAGGGTTCAATAAACAGTGAGCATTACTATCACACTTTCTTCCTACATCATTTCCAAACTGACTTATCTCAGCTCCATTTTATAATTTCTTGAGATCCCTGCTGTATATACAGTAGCCAGAGGGATTAACCCAGGAATGGGTTCCTCAGAGAAAATGCACAGTTGTCTTTTTTGGAATTTTTAAAAACAAGGGTACCTCATTTGTTTGGAAAATTTTGCGCAAAGTTAAATACATTGTTCATACAAACACCATATTGCACAATAACTCCTGATGAAGTAACTTGATATTTCCAAAGAAAGGCTCAAATCAATCTTTTACCTACATTCATTTCAACTGCAAAGAATGCAAAATGTAAAAATTTCAATTAATTTGTTCATACCTCACCAGTTCCATAAGGCCATATAATGTGATTCATTTTCAAAGAGTTAGAATACTGATCTTGTAAATTCTGTGTAATGAAGGTTCCTAGCCCAGATCCTGTGCCTCCAGCCATACTCATTATGATGAAAAAACCACTCAAAGAGTCACATTTCTCTACTTCCTTCTGGATTAGGTTCATTATAGATTCTTCATGCCTGGGTCCATGAACAGAGTAACTGTGCAATGCAAAGGAACAAATACCAACACCTTAAAATTTAATCAGAGATATCTGCAAGATAATATGCAAGAGAGAAAGATATAGGATAGAGAAGGCTTTTTAAACCTATGAAAGTGAACTCACTCTCATGAAAGCCACAAAATTTAAAATACACAAGTTAGCACTGACCAGTGTGGCTCAGTTTACTGGGCGCCATCCCACAAACCGAGGAGTCACAGGTTCAATTCCCAGTCAGGACACATGCCTGGGTTGCAGGCTCAGTCCCAGTTGGGACATGTAAGAGAGGCAACTGACTGATGTTTCTTTCTAACACCGATGTTTCTCTCCCTCCCTTCCTCTCTCTCTAAAAATAAAAAAATGCTATCTTTAACAAAATAAAATACACACTTTAACATAGTTAACAGATAGAGTAGGACTGCTAGGAGGGTGAATTTACTATGTACAAAAAATTCTGTTATAGGCCATTTTCCTACAGCTGGAGACTCCAATTACCAGATAGTCCAGTAAGTTTATGGTACAACATAACATTCGATATCACAACAGTACTCCGAAAGCAGTGGTTCCTGACCTTTTCTGCACATTACAATCACCTAGGGAAGTTGTGAAAAATCCCAATGACCAGGCTTTATCCCATACCAGTTAAATCAGAATTTTTTAATTGAGCCCTAGGCACTGGAGTTTTCCAAAGAAGCCCAGGAAATACTGCTGCCTCATTGTATTGCCTATTAGCTGGAAGACAAAGATATTCATACTGATAGTAAGCCAGTTGGCAGAATGACAGTGAAGAAGTGGAAAACCTTGCTGCAAGAGATCCATGGTTTGGTCATAATCTGGACCCGAAGCACAGACATATGTGAGATAGAATGAGAGTTTCTTCTGTATGAAGTCACATCCTAAATTTTAAAACACCAATTTCAAGATTACATGCTTAGTATATCAACTGTGCAGGTGTAACTACACTACCTACTAATTGACTGTGTAGTTGTATCTAAACTGGAAAATCATGATGAATTATTCTTACCCATAGGCCCAGTTGTTTCCAGAACCTTGTTTTTGACAGAAGCATGAATGCTGGCCGTATTTCCATCGGCCAGACTGGGCAGCCTTTGATAGTGTTTGATTAATAACTTTAGGTTCCATATCAACAAGTACAGCCCGGGCAATTGGAACTAGAAAGGGGGGAAAAACATCAAAAGAATAGTATTTCATAGTCTCATTTGGGTTAACACAGAGCATAAACTTCTAAGTCTCCCCCCTCCCAAACCCCAAAGTTTGAGGACAGAAAAATCTGTCATACTGCTTAGAAATTGAGATGGGCAACAGCAGTTATATGCAGATGGTTCATAATGTCTAGCATTCTGCTAAGCACATTGAATCAGTGTGACCTAAAATGATCATGGGGTCATGTCTACAAACATCTGTTGAGTGCTTACAATGTGCCGTGTACTGTGCTGGGAACACAGAGATGAAGACAACATCAATCCAGCCCTAGAGGGACTAGGTGGAGAGATGAAACACATGATCACTGTTTCATGTGATGACCCATGACTAATGCACACTAACATCATTATATTCCAAGGTACAAAATACTGTGAGCACAACACGCAGTTTAGGATTGTTGAAGCAGAGAAGATGTAGAAGGAAAGGATAGAAGTGATAGATGGAGGTGGAAAGCAGGCAGGGCTTGGATCTTGGAAGTTCTTTGTACGCAATGCTAAAAAAGCTTGAAATGTATCTTTTAGGTAATGTGAAACCACTGAAAATGTTCAAACAGGGGAGAAACAGTTCGATGTCTTTTTTAACAGAGCAGCATGGGGCATGGATGTGACTGACACAACAGTCTAGGCAGGAAAACTCAGAATGTCTTGAAATAGTTCAGGTGAGAGAGGACAAGAGCCAGAACTATGGAAATGACAATGATGCTGAAAAGAAGAGTTTCAAGAGATATATGCAGGAGGTAAATTAAGCAGATCTTGATGCTTGTTGGTATATGGGCAGTAAGAGCCCAACTTTTCAAGGAAAGATAATGAATACTCCTGGGTGTGCAAACATTGAGTTTGAGGTACACGTGGGAATTGCAAGAGATGTCCACTAATCAGTCTGCAGTCTGGAAGTGAGGCTAGGCTAGAGATTTGAGAGTGATTCATGTAAAAGATGTAACAAAGTATGAGAGTAACTGAAATTGCCCAGAGAGAACTATACAAGTGAGGACAGAGGAGAATCTGAGATGCAACCACTGGAGAAGAAAGATTAGGACACTAAGGAGAAGGAGTTTCAAGGAGAGAGTTTTATAGTTAATATTATCAAATCCAGTAGAGAGGTTAAGTGAATTAAGAAAACAGTCAATGGATTTGGTAATTACGGTATTACTGGCAAGTCTTCTTAGAGTAGAAGGTTTAGGGCAGAAGCAAGATTATAGCTGATTAAAGAGTGGTTTCCTTTGAAACTCTTAGATGAGAAGGCAAAATGGTAATAAAGAAGAAAAATGTATAATCAAGAGGTAAATTCTGTTTTTATTAAAGAAATATTTTTAAAAATATTTTATTTATTTTTAGAGAGAGGGGAAGGGAGGAAGAAAGAGAGGGAGCAAAATATCGATGTGAAAGAGAAACATTGATTGGTTGCTTCCTGTATACACCCCAACTGGGAACCGAACCTACAACCCAGGCATGTATCCTGACTGGGGATCAAACCAGCGACCTGTTGCTTTGTGGGATGATGACCAATCAACTGAGCCACAGCGGTCAGGGCATGTTTGCTTGTTTTTAGATTGGCAAAATCTGAGCGTGTTCTTGTGCTGAGAAGGAAGATGCCACCATAGAGGCAAAGGTTGTTAACACAGAAACAAAGGATGGAGAGCAAAGTCATTCCTTAATAGCATGGGAAGGGAAAGAGTTCGGATGAACACTATGTGTATAACCTGGCCTTCAAGCAAGCAGCTGGTTATGTCCGAGTGAAGGAGAGGACTCTGGACCACACATACCTCCATTCTCCTCCTCACTGAAGAATCTTTCTTTGCAAGATGATCGATATGCCTCATTCTCTCTTTTAGAGCAGAGTCCCTGGGTACAGTGTGAATCACTAAATAAAGCATCAAACACTTCAAAACCAATCTGATTGCCACACTGACCAAGTTGCACTGTTACTATTGACATGCTGAGACAGAAATTAGGCTTATTTCCTCAAATAAGTGAGCAACCTGTAATGGAAAAATACAGGCTATGAGAACCACTACATTACCAATAACTAAAGAACAAATGAAATGCCATATATGTATATGGTTATAAATGAAATAGCTATGTTTTCTAAGGAGCCAATCATTTAAGGAAGTTGTTCTTTTTCTCTACATGGTTTTGGAACTTGGGATTTACTGTACTCAAATCCATTTATACACAGCTCAATAATTTCCAAAACCTGATTTGTATTTGCTCCTTTCTTATTCATACATTTAAAACAAAACAAAACAAAATAAATGCGGACTGAAGGAACAGTATATACTTCCCACCACAGGGACACACAGAATGCAGAAGTTAGCTCAACAATCATACATTTAGTTAACATTAATTTTCTCTCTTCTAAATAATGGCTTTCTCTCTCCACCAATCATCTTTCTGGCCTGGTAGTTACAGCAACACTTATAAGAAAGACTTTGTGTTTAGCTCAGATAGGACAACAAGGAAGACCAAACCTGGAAAACTGGAACAGATGAAATATTACAGCAAGTCTTCCCCATTTTTTAACAACGAAAAGAGATAATTTTTTTTTTTTTTTTTTGGTAAATACCTCACATTAGGTCTATACAGCACTGGAAAAAGCAGGGGCTTGTGAGCCATACTTTTCAAACTACCCTGCAAACTAACTATCATTATTCTCATTTTATAGATAGGGAAAATGAGGCTCTGAAAGGCTGTGTGACTTCCGCAAGGCTGCTTAACTAGTAAACAACAAAGTCAAGACTCTCTCTCCCTTTCCCCACCAACCCTAGGAGTTATCAATTAACCCTACTCACTGACAGCCCCAGGACCGGCCGTTTCTGTCCTGTTCAAACTTCAGAGAAACATTATGCGCATGCTCACTTTCAACACCTAAAAAGGTAGGGAGAACGAATGAGCACGTTCCACAAACGAAGAGTTTTGTTGTAGTGTTTTTTCCCCCTATTCAAAAAGGTTTATTACGCATGTTCAATTTCAATTTATCAACTTCAGACATACTACGCATGCTCACTGTCCGTCAAACGCTTTAGCTAACAATGCGCATGATCTAGCTTTCTTGAGCGGCTTCGGAAGGGGTTCTGCGCATGTTTTTGCCAGTACCTGACTTCTGGAGATATTTCTACGCATGTTCCTTGCCCACAGCTTGGCTTCACAGAATCCTGTACGCATGCTCTAGCGCTGAACTTGAGGAGCCAGTCTAAGGCCTAGGCGCAGACGCACTGAGCCCAAGCAGCCAGTGATGGCGGCAGCGGCGGCAGTGGCTGCGGCGGGTCCGGGCCCATGAGGCGACGACGGAGGCGGGACGGCTTTTACCCAGCGCCGGACTTCCGAGACAGGGAAGCTGAGGACATGGCAGGAGTGTTTGACATAGACCTGGACCAGCCAGAGGACGCGGGCTCTGAGGATGAGCTGGAGGAGGGGGTGAGGCCCGGGGTCCCGGGGGACCGGAGGTGACAGGGCCGGGGCGGCGGCGCGGGCCCTGAAAGCCAGGCGCATCCGGGATCGCGGAGACCCAGGGGGCGCGAGTAGTCTCTAGGAGAAGCAAAAGCACCGCGCGGTCCGAGAGAGGAGAGCGGGCGGAGCGGACCTGGCCCTAGGTGTGAGGCCGCTGCGGGGCTCTCAGGTGCAGGTCGCGTCCCCAGCCCCAGATCTGCGCAGCCCGGAGCAGTCGTGGAGGGAGAAAGGGCGCGTGGTCGATTCCTCCAGCTGTTGGACTTGAGTGTAGCGGGCGCGAGTGGTGTAGCGCGTGTTGGGTGTCCCGTAAGTGCAGGTCAAGTGCGGAAGGGTTTCCCTTGGAGTGTAAGATTTCAAGTATTAAATCTTCAGACCTCCGACAACCACCTCTCTTCTCGGCCTGTCGCTTCTCTCCTAGGAAGCGCTCAGCTGTTAGAAGTGACAGCTGAAAACTTCTGTCGGGAGTAGCGCTGCCGCTGCTGTTACAGCCACCAGGAGTTTTATTTCGGGAGCAAGGGGGCTCTGCTGCATCTTCCAGGGTTTGTTTGTTTGCTTTTTTTTTTTAACCCCCTTCCGTGTGACTTTTTTTTTTTTTAAAGAAAAAGCATTTATAACGACACACGGCATTTGTAGCTTACTTTTCTCACAGTTGAAGATGTCTGCATTTTTTTTTCAAAATATTTTATGTAATTTTGGGGTGGAAAAAAACCCAGCGTTGACAGCTGTGATTTGACTTGCCAAAAATAAGTTGCTTCAACTGAGACTTGTGAATGGTGGTGTGAGGGCTCTCCTTGCTGTAATCCAGGGTGTTAAATTTAGAATTGTTTTTCCTAATGCATAGCTTGGTTTTACCTTTGCTGTCTTAATAGGTTGTCATTCTTTATGGAATATTCTTTTTTCAAGATAAATTTATTGAAAAAGCACATATTATACCTTAAGTTTAAAAGTGATGTTGCCATACTGATCACTGATTCTGGGAAAATCCTCAGGATAATTTAGTTTCTAAACTCCATTGCCTAGAAGAGTATGTGGGTTAATGACTGAAGTCTGGCGTTTGCTCTGACTGCATAAGAGTTTCCTTTTCTTTATCTCACCTGATTTTACTCCTCCAGCAAGTTGTGCCCTGCTTGTTGACAAAAGATTGAGATGCTATATGTAAAGAATTTTGAAAACTTTAAGAAACTCGGTGGGTTAAAGTAATACTGTTCTTTTCATAATCAAATGAGTCTAAATCAACATTACCGTTTGGAAGGTGGATATTGAGATGTGTACTTTTAAATACGTTTGTATATGTAATTCCAGTTAGCCTCTTAATGAAACATGTGATACACTGAATACAACTTAAAATGGGATTACTTTGGTTACATATAGCTTCCTCTTGCCAGTTATATTGGTTCCATATGGCAGTGGCTTTGGAGCAGGGCAGGGGAAAAAACTTGATATGAAGGGTACTTTATAAAATCTTCATTAGTTGAACTGATAGAATTTCCAGTGATAGAAACCATTGGTTTATTAGGAGAAGTTAAAGAAGTTGGCAGTAAAATACTGTATTCAGGTACCTGTTATGAACTAGAACCTCATTGGTTTTGGCCTACTCCTGGGCATATGTTTTGTTGGGTATAAGCAAATAGGATTTTGACAGGGTATGGAAGAGGAGGCCAGAGAAACTGGTAGAAATAGAAAAGAAAGACATGTAGCCACTACTCTGGGGAGAGGAACTTTGGGGAAATAGCAAAGGTAATTAAAGAGAATTTTGAGGAAGAGCTTTAGCAAAATATGAGGTCTGTTCAGAAGGTATTCAGCCATGTAATATAAAAAATAGAGACATTTATTGAAGAAGATACAAGAAACATTGTACATAGGACAATGACACTTCAGTCCTCTTCAAAATGGGATATCACACAGTCGCCATCAGCTGCCCCATCGTATTTTCCTGAATCTCATTGAATGTCTGAAATCTCTTCTCTTTCAAGGGTGATTTTAGTTTTGGGAAAAGGCAGAAGTCACAGGGCACCAAGTCAGGGCTGTAGGGGGGCTGAGTCACCTGGGTGGTTTGATGGCTCGCCAAAAAATACTCTGCACGAGACATGATGCGTGAGTGGGCACGTTGTCCTGATGAAGCTGCCGGTCACCAGTTGCCCATAGCTGAGGTCTTCTGAATCATCCAGATCGTTCTCACGGAGGAATGTTCAAGCTTAACGCAAAATTTGATGCAGATTCATTGCTTTACTCACTCAGTATTGTTGTTTTTGTTTTTGTTTTCCCCCTGAAGAGGGTCTTGCCTAAGTCTGGATTTTCCACAGGTAATAATAGCACTTAGGTGGGGGCAGTTAAACTAGGTTATGACTGGTGGAAAGTCATGAGGAAGTAGTTTATAATAACCCGACACTCCACTTTGTAGTGTATGCTATAGTGTGAGGCACTGAAATATAAAAATACTATTTTGGCTGCTATTTATATTGTCTGTACTTTTCTTACCTCTTTACTTTCAAATATTAGACTAAATAGAAAGAACATAAGGCCAGAGGAATTACCCTCCTCATGGTCAGTTTTGGAAGTGTGATATATTCCTCATTTTTAAATCCTTACAGTGGGAGTAAAAATTGGCATATTTCTAGACAGCAAGTTGACAATATACAATAACATTTTAAATGTGTATACTCTTTGAACCACTAGCTCTTTTTTCAAAAAAAAATATCCTACAGAAGTCACCATGTAAACATTAAAAAGCTGCTTGTTGGAGAAATATTTTTAGTAGTGAAAAAATTGAAACGAATGTTCACCAATATACCCATATGATGGAATATAATAAAACATTTAAAATGATAATGTGAATTTTTTTTGTGAACCTGACTTTTTACAGACCCAACAGTATTTATTTTTTTAATTTAATCTTTATTGTATTTCTTTTTCATTACCATTTAGTCCCCTTGTACCCCCCATCCCTTCACTCAGTCATTTGAATACCACAGCCATACAGTACACATGCTCACCCAACATTGTCTACCCTACTGACTAGTTCAGTGAATTTATCATTGTTCACTAATGCACATTCCAGTCCACTCTCCTTGGCTGCCTGGTTACATCAGTGTCGCACAAACCGTTCTCGTTCTGTTAATAATGGCTGGACTTTTTCCGGACAGTCGTATATCTTACTTAGCAATTCTCTTGGAGTTGAAAGTATTTCTTTTGAGTGTGTTATTTTAAGAGTTGCCTCAAGGTGGAAAAGCCAAAAGAGGTAGAGCAGGATTGGGTTGGCCACCAAAGGAGATTCAGTGACATCCAGGTTCCTCTAAAATTTTAAGTTTTCTAAAAAATGAGAGAAGCTTAGGTTTTAAAAAAATCAGGCTATTGTGAATTTATAATACCAGCCCTGGTTAGGGCACATAGAAGAATCAACCAGTGGAGTGGCTCTGGGCTAGTGTGGCTCAGTTGGTTGGGCATTGCCCTGCAAACCCAAAGGTCCCTGGTTCAATTCCTGGTCAGGGCACCTGCCTGGGTTCCAGATTCAGTACTTGGTCGGGATGTGTGTGGAAGACAGCCAATTGATGCTTCTCTGTCACAGCGATGTTTCTCTCCCTCTCTCCTTCCCTGCCCCTCTCTCTAAAATAAAAATAATAATAATAATAAAAGGAATTATTCAATTAAAAAGAAAATCAACCAAGGAATCCATAAATAAGTAGAACAACAAATCAATCTCCCTCTCTCCCTCTTCCTTTCTCATTTCCTTTCTCTCTCTCCCTTTCTCTCTTTTTGGTTTGCAGGCTAGCGCTCAGTCCACTGAGCTTCCCCAGCCAGGGCTTCTCTGTTTCTCTCAAAAAAAAAAAAAAAGAAGAAGAAGAAGAATTTATAATAATATAATTACTCTGGTGATTTGTGAATTTGTAACTTTTAGTACACAAACTTTTTAAACATCAATGCATATCAAAGTAGCCTTACTTCTTCATTTTATAGTAAAGAAACTGAGGCATAGACCAGAGAGATGATTGCCCATGACCATGTAGGTACCCAGTGGTAACGTCTTCTGACTCAGTTCAGCAAACTTTGTTGCACAGCTTCTTTTTATTTTTTAATTTTTTATTGTGTTTTTCCATTACCATTTAGTCCCCTTACACCCCTCTCCTCCCAGCAATCACTACACTGTTGTCCATGTCCACGAGTCCTTAGTCCTTTTTGCTCAATCCCTCCACCCCCTTATATAACTTCTTCATTGCATTTGCTAGTTTTCATAATGTGTTTCTTTGTGGTGTGTCAAAAGTGAATTCAAAACCTTCTGGCCATGCTCACTGACTATGTGACCTAGAATAAATTGCTTAATCTCTGACATTTTTTTTTTTTGTCTATAAATGAGGATTACATGAGATAAAGTGTATAAAGTATTCTTAAAATATCTTGGCATATTAAGCACTTAGCTAATTCATGGAAATATAGCTTGTCACTGTTAGACATTGCCAAGGAATCAGTCATTCAAGTTTACCTTCACCTCTACCTAGAAATTTAATAATAAAAGTAGTTATATTACAGGCTGCATTTTTAGGGCTGTGTTTTTTGTTTTTTTTTTAAATTACATCACTGGTCCTATTTAGAGATACATTTTTTAGATATGTTACACTGAGTGATCTGTATTAGTAAATATATGTATTTACATAGCATTGTTAATTCTTCAGTGAGTAAAAGATGAGGAGAGTAATTTAATACATTTAT